CCCCCCCCGTGTTTCTCTAAGCCCCTTTTTTTATTTTTACAAGGTGAAAATAATAAAAGTCATGGTCACTACAGAAATTATAAGAGTATTGCATTAAAGAAGAGGAATCAGGAATCCAAACTAAAAGACAGCATAAACAGAATTGCTCTGCAGCCAGCATATAAATTCCAAGCTGCTTATGTACATGACGACAAGCGTAAAAATAAAATGAATGGTAACTTAACCCCTTCATGACAGGCCTTTTTTCATTTTGTGCACCCATGTTATATTCCACATTTTAGGTCTGAAAATGAATTAAAACCCCCAAACATTATATATTTTCTGAATGCCAAGACCCTATAGAATAGAATGGTGGTAGTTGCAAATTTTTATGTTGCGCAATATTAGCACAACTCCTTATTAAACCCCAACATTTAGTGAAAAATTTAATATAATGCCCCAAAACACAACAAAATACCCATTTTTTTAATGAAATATAAAAGATAAGGTTACAACGAGTAAACCGATACCCAACATGCCCAGGTTACAAATTGCGTGCGTCCGAAAAACGTGCGGCGAAAAACTGCAGTACCCCAAAAGGTCCATAGAAGACGCTTTAAAAGCCCCCACAGGTCATCAATTTAGAGATACCCCAAAATACTGGCCCTAGAATTATTGCTCTCACTGCGGCGTGCACAGCGATACCCAACATGTGTAGCGCGTTCGTCGTTTTCATACGTAGGCGCACCCGACGCGTGTTTACGTGGCGACGCGCGTGCTCACGGGAGCGGGGGACTTTTTTTTTAATTAGATTTATTTTTTTTCATTTTAATTTAAACATTTTTTAATACTTTGACTGCTATCGCATAGGGGGGCTTACAAGCGCCCCCCCCCCCCCCATGTGATAGCTGATGGTGGTGACAGGTGCTCTTTAAGGTGATGATGGGGGTCCAAAAGACCCCCAGTGTCTCCTTTACACTGGAAATAAGCTATTGAAGTGCAGATTGCACTTCAATAGCTTATAGCTGGGCTGCAGGAGCCCAGAACTGACAGCCCAGGGACCGGAAGTGATGCAATCTGCATCGCTCCCGGTCCCATAGAACGGGGAGGGGATCGATGAACGGAAGTTCGTTGACCTCCTCCCCAGCTCCCCGCGGACACCAAGGAAGCCGGTCCCGTAGGAGGGGCAACGGAGCCCGGGAAGCACAGCGGCGGTGTCCGGCGGGGGGGCGGCCCCTTCTACGGGACACAGAAGCGATCTGGCGACAGGTAAGTCGCCAGAATCGCTTCTGTTGTAAAGCCGACAGTCGGCTCTACAAGTTTAAACAGAGTCCCGGCGGCAATAGCGGAGGGGTTAAAGAGCCAAGAAAATTCCTAGCTGCCATATAGTTTGACAATTTCACACATCACAAATCATCTAGGCTGGTATATTTTCTAGATGCAAACATGCTGGAAGACTTTTTGTTAATGCTTAATCTTTTTTTCACTATTAAGGATAATGGTTTTATATTTATGCATAATCAGAATGCTGATAATCAATATAAGCAAAAATCTAAAGGTTTGAGACATTTTACAGACTTCAGGGCTGCAGACAGGGATCAGATACTGCCACATAGGCTTGTGCTGAAGACATTTATCTGTAATGATGCACTCACCTAAAGAATGAAATGCATACCAATCTCAGACAGCCATCAAATCTGCATATAGTCACCAAAGCAATGAGGAATTCTGGTCTTATTCACCAAAGAGTTCTTATTATGTTTGGTGTAAAAGTAATATTAAAAATGACCCTATGGAAAATACTGCAAAAATAACTTAAAATATGTACTCCCCCAAAATTCACTACACGTTTCTTTTATCCATTACATATTGAAAGCCTATAGCAACCAATTGGAATCTTTTTTGCAGTGCAGCAGAAAACATACACGCTCAAGCCACCTGTTTCCCAGCAACCTAGGATGCTAGACTGCAAGGAGCCATCTGCATCCTAACAACAAAGGCTGCTAAGCGGCTTCAGCCACCTAGCGTCCTTTGTTCCTAGGATGCGGGCAGTTTCAACCACCTAGCATCCTCTGTTGCTAGGATGTGGACGGCTTCAGCCACCTAGCATCCTCTGTTGCTAGGATGTGGACGGCTTCAGCCACCTAGCATCCTCTGTTCCTAGGATGCGGGCGGCTTCAACCACCTAGCATCCTCTGTTGCTAGGATGTGGACGGCATGACCCACCTATTGTCCTTTGTTGTTAGAATGCAGGCAACTTGAGCCGCCTAGCATCCCAGCACCCAATAGGACACCTTTGGGCATCATTTACATGCAGAGTATAGCGCAAACATTAAATGCGAACAGCATACAGAGAGCTTTTTACACAGGATCGTGCTGCCAGGAGGGCTGTGAACTCTAATAATGATTTTTTTTATCCCTTACAGTTAAAAAAGGTTCCATCTTAGCTTCTAACTTGATTGCAGCTGACACGTGATCAGCTATGACACCAGCCCACTGAGGGCTTGAAAGCTCAGCTCAGAGCTGAAATAAACACACTGACAAGTTTGACATTTGGTATGCCTTACAAGTAACTGTTTTGGGAGAAATGAACTTGGTGGGTAAAGTTCCTCTTTAAGGTATATAAATAAAAGCAGGTCAGTTGGAAGCACCCCCTCCAGTGTTAGAACTCATGCCCCAATTTGATTTTTCCCAACTTGTAACGGACACTTCTACTGAAAAGCTTGGCCTGTTACCAAGAGAGGGAAATCTTACAGACAAGATTAACTAGTAATAAATCTGACAGGTTGTATCATATTCAAATTTTAGATTTTACTCTTTAAGAGGAACTCTGTATGAATAAGGAAGATAAAGCTGTAAAATGTGAATAATAATACAAAAAGAAGTATACCTGTGGAAACTTTGTGATTACATTGTGGGGAATCCCCATAGTGTTGTGCACATAATCAAATGTTTCTGTAATTCTTTTCTTTTGTGCCGTTAGTACTTTGGGAACTCTCAAAGCAATATGCTGTATTTCATTTTTGCGGAACCCGAGTTCTATTTCGAAGACCTACCAAATAAAAACAAATGACATTGTTTTTTTTTAACAATTTCCAAATAAAATCTGTACAACTCCATGAAAAAGTGCAGAGAGGAAGAACGTCCAGAATGTGTAAAGTAGCAGGGGCAGCTGTATTGCCAACAAGGTAAAGGAATTCTCTAAATCCAACCACTAGAGGGCACACCCTAACTAGAAATCAGGGGAAAGATACCCGTGTTGGGTTAACGTGAAAACAAAAATAAAATTAAAAGCTTATTAAGTCCGGTGTGACATTTTACAGTCTTGACACTGGCTTATCACAGCAGGACAGTGGGGGCCAAAGGTTTTCTAGCCTGTCCACTTTCGCCTCCGATATCTGGTAGCTACATCAAAGATTTTTCACTTTGATTTAGGGGAAAATATAATGGTGTGGTTTGCCTTTTATACATTATTTATTTTTGTAAACTGATAAATATACCTTTTTGTACTGCTTGTAAATAACAATTATTAAGATTCTCTCATTACTACTACTCATGACTTTAAAAAGCATATACAAAAGTATATGGAAAACACTTTACATTTCCTTTAAAAGTGGACTTCTTTTTCAAATACGCTAGAAGCAGTGAGATGCATCACCATGTTACTATAAAGAGTGGCTAATAGCAGTAAATGATTAAGTGGATAGTCAAGAAGAACAGTGTATGACCAGAGCTAAGATGAAATAGGTATACGAAGGGCAGAAAAAAAAAAAAACCTTCAGATTTTCCCTAATTGGCTCGAGACTTCCAGTGACCATTCTGGGGAGGCGCGTTACTATATCACGCGTCTGTAATAGAAAGATGAAAAAAAAAAATAAGAGAATACAGTAAATTGCATACACAATTTTATGTAATCATATGAACAGATGAACAAATGTAAATCTAAAGCCAAAACTTACATATATTCATTTCTGCTGTGCCTATTCCCTTCACTTCCTGTCTTGGAGACAACACAACAGAAAGCGAGATAAAATCTCTCCAGAGTAAAGCTGGCCATACGCCTATAGATTATCTGCAGATTTTCTATGGTCAGATGGGAAAAGTGCAACAGATTCCTCCATCTACGCTAAACTGTGTGGATGGAGCAATCTCCCACTGGGCCAAGCTTCAGTATCTTGCTAGTCGGCCCCGCTGGCTCTCAAAATACCTGAACAATCTGATTGGATGCAGGCATTGTTCAGGTATTTTGAGATCCAGTGGGGCCGACTAGCAAGATTCTGAAGCTTGGCCGAGTGGAAGATTCCTCCATACACACAGTTTAGCCTAAATGGAGGAATCTGTTGCACTTGTTCCATCTGACCATAGAAAATCTATAGGCGTATGGCCAGCTTTAGGGAGATTCTATCTTAAAATGTCATTACCCCAACAAGTGTCCCCAATTAAAGAAGAACTCCAGGCAAAATTATTCTTAACCCTTGCAGTTGACCTACCCCCATAAAGTGTTTTTTTCATTTTCATGGAGAGTTGTTGCTTTCCTGAAAATGCATTCAATTTATGGGGTAAATGTATTTCCGAACAGACTAGTCCATTAGTAGAATTCTTTCAAGTAGAAAATATTTTAGGAAAAACCCAACATTTGTCATTTTTTTTAATAGCGAATAGTCATGACTACACTGAGGTGTTTTTGTGCCAAATGTCTACCAGGAACTAGCACTAGGTGGAGCTACATGCCTAAAGTGCATGTCATGGCAAAGAAAATCAAATCTCAGGATGTGTTATAGCGGACACAAGCTTACATTCTCTGCGCTGAGCCCCAGCTGTTTCTGGAAGAAGCCCAGCCGATTGTCCAGCCTCTCCACCGAAAAGTTCAGCAGATAAGGGGCTCTGGAGACCATCCGAGCTATGGCTTGCTGGCTGAATTTTCTGGAGCGCAGGTAGGCCACCCTATAGGAAAAAGAACACATAGAGTGAAGACCTGTCCTACCTACAGAGATACACGCAGGGGGTAGGTGCTCTACCCTTCAGTGGGAAACATAAAGAAGTTTATTTTCAAACAGTGTGAATCAGAGAAGCCAAACTGTCTATACAGTGAACATTAAAGAAGAACTCTGGGAATGTTAAATATTAAGCCTTGCAGTGGGGCTACCTCCGCACTGCAGGGGTTATCTGCTTGTTTTGGTCTATAGGGTCTAAAATAAAAAAAAGACATACTCATCAGATCCTCAGTTCCACCTAGCTGCTAGACCAGTCCCCGTAGCCTCTTCTCCCCCAGGCTTCCGGCGGTTTAAGGACCGGTGGTGCCATCGTGTCCATTCCCCTGCATGGACATGAGAAACATTCCACAGCTGGAGCGGAGGGGGAAAGAAGTGAGCCGTTACCGCCATGGGACTGAGGATCATGGGAGTATATCTTTTTTTATTTTAGACCCTTTACCAAAATAAGCAGTTAAATCTAAAATGTCTTTGCAAATGCAGTTGATACCTTGTAAAAGGAATCACTGTGCTGCGCATAGCCTGTGCACAGAGTAGAGCTGTGGGAGTGACCTAGCAGGCCCCACCCACTACAGGTCCTCTGCAAAGAACTACAGGAGAGGGCGGAGACAAGACCAATCACCCTGCCCAAGGAGAGAGAACAGCAGTGACCGGTCTTTATTACAGGAAGCTCCAAGTCTCACACTGGATTACTGTACAGATCTGGAAGAAATACACAAAGCTCACTACGACTACAGTAAGAATACACATGCCTCTTGTACAACATTTACCTTTCCCAGCTTTAAAGTGTATTTCCACTTTTGCAGCCAAATTGGGATAAAACCTATTTTATATTTATTATGTTTCCATTCACATAGCATAAGCTAAAAAAAAATTAAAAAAAATGCTTCTTGCGGTCTAAAAACGTTTACTTGGGTTAGGGTTTTAAAGTTTAATATTTCTACTTGCTTATCTTTCTTTGCAATGTTAAGAGAGAGGTGAGGGGTCTGAGCTGGCTTCTCCATTGTATGTTAATTAAGTGAATGAGAAACACAATCCTCAAATTACAGTCCTAAGTCTTTCTAAAAAGGACAGATCACTGTGAAGGCGCTGAAAAAAAACCTTGAATCGGCCATCTTGCCTGTTGCAACAAAACATCTAAAAAAGGTAAGAAATATATATATTTTTTAATTATTTTTCTTTATGCTGTGTGAAGAGGAACACAACCATATAGAGGGGTTTTCTCAAATTTGACTATAAAAGTGGAAATACACTAAGATATTTTCACAAACCGTAAAGGAATTCTAAAGTCCCAGCATATCCTCTCCTGTTAGGACATCAGCATTGCAATAGGAATACATACTAGGGTTGGTTTTGATATTGCAATTAAATCTTGATGGAAAAATCCCTTTTATGTAGTGAGTGCTGCCTTCTGTCTGCCCATCACTTTCACCAACTTCCTGGATTCCCAGTGTGTTTTGCATCTCTCTCCCTGCATGTGATGAAATCTCAATTTCTCAAGATGACATATCCCGTCATGCATTGCTTCCAGCAAACAATGATGACGTTACATTGTTCAGATGATGAATTGTAGTTTAGAAGGTAGATTTAAGGAAATGCATATTCACAGGGCTGAGTTTACAAACTTCTAGATGGATACGGTTATTCGGAGTGGGATAGAATTGATGGAAATTCAATATAGAATACAGATTTAGTTTTCGTTTTTGACCATAGATAGTAACATAGTATGTGAAGTTGAATGAAGACCAGGGTCCATCCAGTTCAACCTATGTAGATTCCTTTTAACTATGTCTTTGTATTGGTAGCAGTGCTTTTCACACTCTAATATCGCGAGTGATGCTTACATCAGTCCTCTGTGTGATTCCCCGTTCAGGATCCTCTCTACAAAGCAGGGGACTTCTGTGTAGCAAATGAGGAGAAAAGTTTAACATGTGAACTCCCCTAAGGGGAAGCAGCCTGATGACTAGCCCAGGTAAGCCCGTGTTTTCATGGCCTGGCACACCCTGTAAAAACACGGTTGTGACACACCTGTATGGAGCTCCTGGCATTGAATCCCTGTACAACAAGCCAGTGTGTGTAATATTTGGCAGCGGCATCTCACTACTGAATGGGAAACAATATGGAAAAAGCACCGGCTGTTCTGTGTTCTGACTTGGGTGGAGGCATCAAATGAGAGCTGGCAGAGAGTACACAAGTTCACTGATCAAAAGCTGGAGACTACGAGCAGCGCCAGCTTCACACTTTACACAGGTATGTTTAACTAACTTCCTCCTCTATATACTATGAAGGCTGCTGCTGCCGTCGCAGAGGCCTCTTCCTGAGATTCCTAGTTTTCCTGACTGCCATGCCGATTTCTTATTTCCATACTAAATAGGAGCATTACACAGATAGTGACGCCTAAGTCACTCACCCTGAACAAGTATGCTGATCAGGAAAGTCAACAAATAAAAGACAGAGGGTCACCGTAATAGCCAGGCACATTCAGGAGGAGGTCACTTAATGGCAGCCCCCATTTAGCAGGTACCCCCATAGGCAACCTCTACACCAGTGTAAACCTTTGAAAGTAAAAGTCCGGCTTAACCACCTTAGTACAAGAGCAATTATTTCATTTTTGGACACAAAGTAAAGTCACAATTCTTTTCCTCCCCACGCAATGTTGCTTTAAGGACTTATCTTAAAGTGACATTAAACCCTCAGATTTTTTAACATAAACCAATACTGTAATGTGTGCCTTACTGTAATCCATGGTTGTTTCCCTTCTCTTTGCTGCTCTTCCTTTGAAATCCTCATGTCTTCTCATGCTTGGGGAGAACTTCCCTTTTCAGCTCAGGGCCTCTTCCTGTAGTGCTGGCTCAGGTTACAAGCCTATACAAACGTATACACAGACACCGTGTATCCATTCCTGAGACAAGGCAGTCTGCTGCAAAACAGAAGTTCTGCAGAGCATGAGAAGAGATACGGATTTAAAAGGAAGAGCAGCAAAGAGAAGGGAAACAACCATGGATTACAGTAAGGCGCACATAACAGTATTGTTTTATGTTAAAAAATCTGAGGGTTTAATGTCACTTTAAATGATGGCTCTTGATCCGATCATCTTCTTCCTTCCACTTGTAGTCAGCAGTCCTTCCAGCGCTGGTGCCGGTCTCTGATCCAGCGCTGACTGCTGTGTCTTCGGCTGCGTGCATTCACCTCCAATGTGTCTCTCCTCTTCTTCCCGCAGAAGATCTCTACTGTGCATGTGCCCACCCCATTATCATCATCCAGCTCAGCCACTCGAAAAGCTCCAGATCTTCAGACGGCAGCGAGCGGTGGAGACACAGGTAAGTAATGACCTTTTTGGTAACTTTCTAAAAATGTTTTTGCATATATCTACTGCTTGCTAGCATTTTTTTTTTACTTAACCTTATTGCTATCAAAAAACAAATCTGACAGGGGTGATAACTACACACACACACACACTTTACGCTATCTAAAACTAAAAAAAGTTTTGGGTTCAGTTCTACTCTAAGCCCTGTCATCCCCCTTATCCAGAGAGTGCTGTTAGTCCATGGAGCAGTCTAATTTTACAGGAGATTTATAGTTTGCCGGGTTTAGTTCTAATATTTCAGGAAGTCAAGCCCCCGGTATGCAGGTGAAACAAACTCAGCAGAGGTTTTCTGATGTAAAAATGGAGTCCAGGTTCACATTAAAGAGATCACAGAACAATATATTATCCAACATGGTTCTCTTCATCTGGTCATTGAAGAAGAACCCCAATCTAAATGATCATTTGTATTTAGATAGCAGTTAGGCTGGGTTCACACCTAGGCGGCACTGTTTTTACGCGTTTGTACGCACGATAACTGCATTTGGTTATTTGCGCGTTGTGCACATTTGTATGTGCGTTTTAACTCGTGTTTTGATTGGCAGCTCATACACCATTGTGGGCAATGAAAGAACGCACGTATAAAGGCGCAAAAACGCTCACAAAAATGTACAACATGCTTCTGTTGCACGTTTTTGGGCCTTTCCAATGAAGTCTATAAGGGGACTTTTTAATTTTTAATAGGTTTCCCAACTGCCCAAAGATGCTCCTGTTTCTTTTCAGGCGTTTGGGTTTTTTCTGCTCAGGCGTGAATCAAGGCCATTGAAAATCATGGGATTTCTTGTCCCATGATTGGGCAGTTAAAAGTGCTTTTCGAACTGCTCAAAAACTCCTAGGAGCTATGAGGCTTTTTTGGTCTCATGGAAATGAGGAGCTCCAGACCCCTGACTGTGCTGTGTGTGTGTCAGGATGACTGACGGCTGCCTAGTGAATCACGAACAGGGAAGTCTGACTGGCATCCGGCACCGCAGTTTTCCGGTTACTCTTATCACATGCACTAATACCTGCTCCAAGTCTGAGCAGCTGGCAGCAATGAATAAGATAAAGCGGATCTAAACCCAGAAATACATTTTAGCTATTTGTACACCCAACGCTGTTCTCTAATCTAATCGAAGGAACACCTCTTTTAGCAGTTCTGGGCTTTCTCCAGGATACCACGACTGAAAAACACCCCGAAGGCTGCTACACACCAGAACACACTGTGCTGCAACACACATTTTCATGCATTAAGACGGGCAGCGTTAGTTGCACCTTTAAAATGAACGGGCTGTAGTAGCCCTCAAACATTTTTTGGATGTTGCATTTTTCTTCAGAGCACTGGAACACAATGCACATTGGCGCCAAAGTGTTATGGAGGTGCATTGGGGTGCCATTCAAAATAAAATTCACACTTGATTATGAGCTTCTGACTGCTGGAGACCCCCATAAGTCCCTGATCACACCCTAGCTTAGCGTGAAAAATCCCATGCTTTGATGCGCGTTCATGGAATGCGTAATACAACTGTGGAACGCATTTGCGATACCATTACTAGTTAATGGCACCCCAAACGCAGCCTGGAAAATGCGTACGAACGCGCAGGAAAAAAACA